TCCTCTCCTTTGCAGCTATAGCGCTGTTGCTCTGTCTTTGAAATACATTCTCTTTTTTTCATTTCTTCATTAAAATTGCTGGTTCCAGCGGTGTTAAATAGGCTGTCATGGTGACTAGTCCAATCAGGGCTCCACTGAAAATGGCTTTTCATACTTGTTACGAACCAAGCCTGGGCTGCCAATCGCCGGCAGGTCCCTGCCCCGCAGTACCGTGTGCGAGACAGGGTCTAGCTCTCAACGAAGGACCTTCCTCTAATGGTAGAGAATAAGAAGCTTGCACCCCGGTTTATTGGGCCTTTCCCCATCTCCATGGTGGTTAACCCTGTAGTGGTCCGTCTCCGTCTGCCCCCAGCCATGAAGATTCATCCCACTTTCCATGTGTTCCGTATCAAGCCTGTCAGTACCTTTAGTCTCGCTTCCGCCCCCTCTTCCCCACCACCCACCCGGCTTGTTGATGGCTTACTGCCTATACAGTCAAGAGGATCCTAAAGTCCCGGAAGTGGGGCAAGGGTACCCAGTACCTCATAGATTGGGAGGGTTATGGCCCGGAGGAATGCCATTGGGTTACCTCCCGCTACATCTTGGACAAGTCCCTTATTAGGGATTTCCACAAAGCCCACCTGGACTAGCCAAGGGGGTCTCGAATCCGCCCTTGAGTGGGGGGCTCTGTGATGATCCTGGCACTGGAGCTGATTCTGCCTCCAATTTACTCTCTGGTTCAGTCTCCACCCTCTCCACAATTATCTCTACTGTTTTCACCTGTCGCCACCTGTATATAAGCTCCTTCCTGATCAGTCTCCAGTGCCAGATTGTTTCGAGCCAGCCTGGTAAGAACCTTCAAGCCTTTAACATTATGAACCTGTCTGCCTGCCTACCGACCTGTCTTTGTCCCCTGATTCTGAGCCTGCCTGATCCCTCTCTGGATTTGTCTGCCTGTCTGAGTCCTGATACTGGATCCCGGGTTGACCTGTGCTTCTGAACCCTTTTTTGCCTATGAGTACCTGAGCCTGCCTGCCCCCTTTACTCTTTGTGTTTATCAGGAGATTGGACCTGGAACTGGAATCAGAAATATCTACTGGATTACACCTTCTTGTACCTCTGCTGCTTTATTGGACACCATTACAGTTTCTGGACTGTCTCTGGACTAAAGCCCCTGGAAAGCCCACACAGTTTTTTGACCGCAAACAAGTGGACGTCTCTATCCGTAAAGCCTCCTGCCTGTCTCTAGCTTACACTCAGTGCTCTGGCTCCTTTCATTACCAAGTTAGTCCTTCGTCAACTCCTCAGTTGTAACTTGCCACTGCAGCCTCTGACCTGTCCCTCTGCCTCTAGGACGTTCTGGCCGGTTATCGAGAGCTGCACACCTGGGAGCCAGCGCTTTTTAAACCCTGCTTCTTTTTCAATAATAACTTTAAATGTCACTGACGTGTCGTGGTTGAATCTTGGGTCCAGATCAGTACATTACAGATGGCTGGGAATTGAATATAACAGTTATTCACAACAGCGATTTAATGCAGCACAAATGACCTGAAGGCAGGTGGGCCAATTGATGGAAGGCAGACAGGATCGGACTGATGAGGCTCTGATGGATCCTGGACCAACTACCAGCTGGGGATCGACGGGGAACAATTGATGAGGTAAGACGTCGGAAGCCTGCGCTCAGGAAGTGCTGCAGGATTGGAGGCTAGAGGCAACCAGAAAAGTAATAAATGAATAGAGTTGAGGATTATAACAGACAATAAATAAATAAGGTAATTATTACAAATGCAAATAAATAAAGAAGCTAATCTACCATTTAATCTGCATTTATTTGTTTATTATATTTTTGGGGGCAATTAATTGCAGTGTTGGGAAAGTTCTCTTTCTACGTGAACTAGTTCAAAGTTCAGTTCACACATTTTAAAATGAACTAGTTCA